TCCCATTGAGCAGGCAACTCTGTTGCCATGTTTTTCGCATAAATTCACAGATTTTACCTTTCACACCCAGTTCTATGTTCTGTTTTGGAAAGAGACCATTCAAAGTCTTCCTTACCCCTCAGCTGACCTTTGCAGGAGCAGTTTTGGTGGGAGATAGCACCATTTCTGACACTAGTACTCTTTTTGGTAGGGTGTGCTACCAGGCCCTGTGCCTGGCAGGGCTGTGGGACCTGCACCAGGATTGATTCCTTGTTGTCTGTCCTTTTCCTGATACTGAAGGGTGTCATGCAAAGCTTTCTGTGTGATAAAAAAAAATTTAAAGTTCTTACCCTTTGGCTACAAATTTACTGTTTTATAAAGAGTATTTAAAAAAAAAAATACAGGAAAGAGTTACATAGGCCTATTTTGTCAGTCAGTGCTCTCAGCAAAGGAAATTAATCTCTTCTGTACAGATACCTTCAGTCTTTAGACTAACTGAGCAACATACCTTTAGAAAGAAAACTGTCTTCTCTTCCCTGAGATTGGTGCAGTTCTGATCACCCTGACTATCTGAATTACCTATCACTGTAATTTGTGGATCTCCTGCAGAAGGGCTCTAGACCCAAGACAGTGCTATGGAGAAAAAGTCTCTGTATTTATCCAAACACACAGATCCACACGTCCAGAGATTGATGCATGCGCTGCAGCTATTGTCATGCCCATTAGTGTGGTCACAGTTTGTTTTCTGCAACACTGGCTTCCCAAACATTCTTTAACTCTCCCTGAAGCTGTACTTACACATGTAAAATCTCAAGAGTATCACACACAGAGGAAGTTGTAAGCTAAAAGCCACACAAGCATGACACTGTTCTGGACCAACCTGAACTCTTCCATCACCTTGCTTTACCAATATCAACATGTACTGTCAGGCTTAAACCAAGAGCTTTTCTTAACATCTTTTTCTACGTGCTCAGCTTTTGAAATTTCTTCCAGTGACTAATAATTTACCTCATTTTAGCTTGAGGCCATGACAGAAAATCCTCTGCTGTTGGAGCTTTACACTGAGTGAGCAGAGGATCCCAGGGAGGACTGCCATCAAGGAGGACTGAACATCAGTGCCATGCATAGAAGGGAAGCTGGCACACACACTGAGGCTGAAATTCTATGGACCCTGATGGAATCCACCCCAGAGTAAAGACAGAACTGGTGAAAGAACTTGCCAAATTACTCGCAATCATCTACCAACAGTCCTGGTTAACTGGAGAAGTTCCAGTTTTCTGGTAATTAACAAACATAATTCCCATCAACAAGAAGAATTGGAAGGATGATCAGGGGAACTACAGACCTGCCAGCCTGACCTCTACTCCAGTCAAGGTTAGGGAAGAGATCATCCTGAGTGCCATCCCACAGCACAGGCTGGACAACCAGGGTTACAGGCCAGCCAACAGGATTTACAAAGGCAGGTCTTGCTTGACCAACCTGATCTCCTTCTGTGAAAAAGTGGCCCACTTAGATGAATAAAACATGTCTTATGAAGAGTGACAGAGGGAGCTGGGATTTTTAAGTGTTGAGGAGGCTCATGGGGGACTTCATTGCTTTCTACACTACCTGAAAAGAGGTTGTGGTAAGGTGGGAGCTGGTCTTTTCTACTATGTCTGCAGTGGGAGGATGAGGGGAAATGGCTTTAAACTGAGACAGGGGAGATTCAGATTAGACATTAGAAAAAAGTTTTCACTATTATGTTTCCCAGGGAGGTAGTGGGGTCACCAACCCTGGAGGTTTTTAAGAAGTATCTGGATCTTGCTCTGGGTGATATGGTTTAGTGATTTAGGGGTTACAGTGGTGGTGCTGGGTTGACAGTTGGACTTGATGATCTTAAAGGTCTCTTCCAACCTTAATAGTTCCATGATCCTATGATTCTATGAAAGAGTGGAACAGAATCAGACTGAAATCAAAGCTGCCATTTTTCTCATTTATATTCTTTCCCTTTCTGCTATTAGCACTTGGGTGGTCTGTCCACTGAGAAAATGCAGTATACAGAAATTGCATTACATTTCTTGTTCCTCTGCATTCCCAAAATAAATTCCAGCAGACTTTTCAAAATACCATGGAAGCTTATGGGAACCTAAGTTCTTAAGTATACACAGATGGCTTGCCTGCAACCTTATTTTAATATCACCTTCAGTGTCCCAAACATCAGCACGTCAGTAATAACAAAGGTAACACAAGAAATGCAAACACATTAAAAGGCAGCACACCATGAGGGACAGAGAAGCATCAGAAGAGGGAACAAAAATCCACATTAAAAGTAGCCAATTAGTGAAATGCCATCTGTTCATCCAACCTTCCCTCAAAGAAGGAAGGTTTCCTGTTTAATGGAACAATAAATTCTTCAGGGCTTGGAAAAATGAGTGATTAGTTGTACTTTTTCCCTCTGTCTTGTTTTATTGGATGAATCCTTATGCAGTTATTCACCTTGAAAATGTCACTAGGGCAGCCACTACCGTGGCTCTTGTATTTTTTTAGCAGTGTTGTATGAAATTTGGCAGGATCTATATTTAATAGACATCAAAGATATTTTGGTTTTGGTTTGTTTTGAATTCTGGTGCATTACTTCAGTACAGTTGAGATAATCTCCTGTTACAATCCATTTTGATTTTTGTTAGTTTTCCAAGAAGTAAATTAGAGTGAAACAGGACTGAGTTTCATGCCAGACTGGGTGGAGTGGAACTATAACAAGATGATGATTCCAGTTGAAACATATCGCTGCTTTAGACTTTGTCAAAGCTTGGCCCAGACTTGCTGAAAAATCTGTAAATATGGCCTTATTTTTTACTTTAGACTGAGCTGAAGCCTAGAAAAACTTGCTGAATTTTGTTTCCAAGACAAAAGTAGAATTAGTTTTTGCTTCCATACCTGGTGGAAACCAGAAAGAATTATTAAATCACTTCTCCCCTCCCTCTTCTTATACCCTTTTTGCCTTTCTTCTGGTGTCAAGACTTTCACAGAGTTCAGCAATTTGGGTTCTATTGAGGTCACCCTTTTAATACACTTTTTCACATGTAGGGGATCCTGCTAGTTAGTAGTACACAGTGCTCTTAAAAAAACTTCTTCTGTAGTTTAAAAGAGAAGACGTGCAATTTATAAAACCTTGATTATTTCCAAAAATCCAAACAATCCTTGATTGTTTCCAACAGTTTCACTGTCTCCAAGTTTCTTGATGAAGAGAAGGCCTTTGGCTGGAGCACAAGTTTTATAAGGCTGAGGAAATTGAATTTGTTTAGCCTGAAGAAAAGGAGGCTGGAGGGGCACCTTATCAAAAATTGGTGGGTTAGTCTGTTCTGCCAAGTGACGGGACAAGAGGAAATGGCCTCAAGATGTGCCAGGGGAGGTTTAGATTGGATATTAGGAATAATTTCTTCACAGAAAGGGTTTTCAAGACTTTGAAAAGTATGCCCAAGGAAGTGGCTGAGTCCCTATCCCTGGAAGTATTTCAATGAGCTGTAGATGTGCCATTTAAGGGTGGATGTTAGGGATTTGGCAGCGCTAGGTTAATGGTTGGACTTGATGATCTTAGAGGTCTTTTCCAGGTCTATCATTCTGAGTAAGAACAGTATTACAACTACATGCAATAACAATATTGCTGATGAATTTGAACCAAGAGCTGAATCCTTCACAGTATGACATTGCAGCACATTAGGGCTAAATATTTGTCTTCTGCTCATAAGTTTTCTAGGAGTTTTCCTTTGATAACGTATTGGGCCGTACATTATGATTTGATAGACATAATGAACTGTACTTGTGTTTGTATGCACATTTTGCTGCAGTGAGAAATATAGGATTATAGTCTCCAGAGTTTTGCAATGGAAATGCAATTGTGCTTATAATAAGGCAGCAGTTTAAATTAATGAGTTCCTGTGTATGTGTTTGTGTGACTGTCACTGTTGGAAGAGCTGAATAAAACACCCAGATAAGCCTAAAATATTTCATACAGAGCCTGAGGCAGCCCAGAGCTTCAAGAACCCCAAAACCTTTAAAGCACAGAGGATTTCAATGGTGAGTAGAGTCTGACCTCCTGCCTCAGGCTTCTTCCTTAGCTACCTTCTCCAGGAAAAGCTTTGTATAGTGCTGCTCCATGATAAAGCTTTCCAGAAAAACAATAAATTGTTATAGATGAAGAAATAACATTCACTGTATTATGGTGTGTGCATTTGACAGCTAGACTTATAAAGAAAAGAGAAAATTTATTCCTTTCATTGCATTCATTCTGTCTCTAATATGCCTTAAAACTTACTTGAGTCAAAGGTGCTTGCTCTGCAGCCCTCTCTGACCTCTGCCAACATCCTTGGATCAGGGTGACTGCTGAACAAGGTGGGACCAGAAAAATTTCAAGAGCTGGGAGACTCCACATTGTCTGGAAATAAACATGATAACTGGATACAGATGTATCTTGACTGAGGAGATGCAGGAGAGCTTATAATAAAGCAGTGTTACAATTTGCTGTTAACTGAGGCAAAGACACAGCCTCTATCCTGATAAAAGCTTGGTCCTTGCAGTGAGGAATGGATGCAAAGATGCAAGTTCATATAGGAAACAGCTTCCAAATGGTAGGTATAGCATTAAGTGCCCAAGTGCAAGTTCCTGTCACATCTCTAGTAAAACATTATGTTGAAAAGATTTACAAACATATCTCTCTCTTATTCTGATTTCTAGAAGTGTAGCTCCTCTCTTCAGGTTTGCTCTTAGTCTGGCAACTTTCCATGATCCCTGCATCTACAGGAAAACAGTTTCTTGTTCTCAGGACTTGTCTTGTCCTTGCTCCTTATGTCCCTGGGAGTTCTTTTTCCTCTTGTTTCAGGTTATGTTCCTATAAAACATGTTGCACTAAGCTGCGCGTAAAGCTTTGCAGCTTTGAGTCCCAGTGCTGGCTTGAAGTTCTGAAGCCTCCCTAATTTCAGCATGCCCCAGGGAAGCTCTCCTTGAGGATTCTCACTCTGGGTATCCAGGACAAAGCAACCATCCTAAATAAGAAGCTTAATATTACATACCAGATCTTAGAAAGATCTCATAAGGAAATCAGGAGCAGTGACAGCCACTGGCAAAAGTAAAAGCCACAGCAGTGCAAACCAGTTTGAAGTTGAAATAAATAATCCCTCCCCAGAGCTTACTGAATGTGTTTTTACAGTGTCATTCACTCCAAAGTTAAATTATACTCTTCTGAAATCTTGACATTTATGGAATCAATACATACCAAGAGGCTGGGAAATAGGTGTGCAGATGATTCAGTACACTTTCCTCTCAAGTACTGGCTTAGCTCACTAAAACTAGAAGAGTTATTTCTCTTAGAGCACTTAGAGCTTCTAAAATTGCTTATGTTACAATTTTCTACAAATTTCAAGTGATAAAGGGGGTTTTGTGTCTAAATTCAGTTTACTATATGACACTAAAGGCTGCAGAAGGCTTGTTGTGCTGCAGTATGGTACTGACATTTTAACAATAGCTCCTTTAAGTGATGCAACATAAATTGTCACCCAACTCTAGTTCAAGAGAGGTTATTTCAGAGGCATGTGCATTTGTTGTATACCACTGCCATGAAAAGTTCTTGAAGGAACTTGCTGATGACATTAGAAAACAAGTTCTTATTCTAGATAGAATGGACATTATTAAATACACTGAAGGTACACCTGGAAATTCTTTGTTCACTGATATTTCATGGCAGCTTTTCCCCCACATTTATTTAATATGCCATGTTTTCTTTCATAGATAATTTTATTCCAGTTGGCATTTGGCCTTTGGATTAATTGAAACTGAAAGGGCTAGAAAGTATTTAATTTCTTCTTATGTCAGTAGTTTCAATATTGATACTTTAATTAGCAAATAAGCAAAACAGTCCTCAAACTTGTCAAGATTTCCAGCAATGCTTATAGGAGGGGATATGGGTCAAAGAGCTGCTTCTTCAGACAGAAGTAGCTATGGAAGCATTGGGAATTCTGGGTGTCTCCTTTGCACTAGTGATCCTGACCACCAGCACCAGGAACTGTGCCTGGATTACAGATGTGTCAGTTGATACAAACAACAGAATATCTTTTCCATCTTTTTCTGTTTGCAACAGGCTTTTGTGAGTGTTGGCACGTGCCTTTTCTCAGGTTAAAAAGGGAGCAGAAGGCAAGCAGTTCAGGAATTAGTCTAGTCCAGGCTGAATTAAGAAGAAATTACATTTTCTTCTTTTTATATTTTAATTAAAACATTATTAAAATTGTACAGTTTTGGTTGTGGTTGCAGGAACAGGAATAAACTCTGTCACTGCAAGCTATTTTTGTATTATACTGAATGCATCAACTTTGTGGGAAAAAAATTAATTTCCTGGATGAGATATTGATACATAGATACAACTTATCTACTTAGTTGTAAGGAAGGCAAGTAGAAAATAATTCTTCTGCTACAGGATCAGAACTACTTATATTTCTTTGGAATTTATTATCCAGTATGACCATGAGCTGTCTGAGCCAATTTTGTTTGGAAGAGCACATAATATTTCTGAAATAATTTCTGATCATTGTATGTATTGTAAAGACATTAATGTTAATAGTGTAACTCCATTTTTTTCAGGAATTGTTCAGACAGGAGGGAACTTCCTGCTCTGTGAACGATCAAGGTCTTCAGTAGTCCTGGATATCACATGCTTTTAGTCTAAAAATATGCTTGTACTAGGTGAGATCCAAGAGTGCTGTGAATTCTGCAGTGTGTTCCAGGAAGACCTCATGAGGGCTGATAGAAAGGTAACTTAGGGAGAAGACATTATTATTTCCCCATAAAGACTGGATATACAACAGTGGAAAGAATAGATACATCAAGCAGAGTATGGTACAGATAAACTATGGCTGTCCCAATGTAGCTAAAATCAGCTTCTCAATATCACACTCATTTTGTCCACGTAGAATCCTAAAATAACCATTTTCTCCCCATGATTTTCCCCAGGAGTTTGCAGCAATCTAAAAGTAAACAAAGCAGAAAAAAAATTACCGGGTTTGCATTCAAAATATTATTTAAAAATGCAAGGTGCAAAGTGCAAAATTAATCTTTTGTGTTAGTTGCCTTTTTAAGAAACAAAGTCTCTCAGATTGGGTGCACTGGGAATTAGCACGTATCTTTTTCAGATTTCTAATAATTTGTTCCTTTTTTGGTTTGATCAAAATTTCCTTTCCAAAATCAGAGTTAGTAAAAATGAAATAGTATTTCTACAAGATAGTTTGATAAATTTAAGCAGAAATCATTACATGAATATTCAACTCTTTGCTGGTAAAAATGGTTACTGAAACAACAATGGTCAGAATTCCAATTACAACTAACCTGTTAAAGATGTATCAAAGATATATATATTATAATAAAAAAAAAAGAGCTGACTTTAGAAAGTGAAGTTTTATTCAGGTAACTATAGACATATCGAACAATTTATTAGACATATTGAACAATTTCTTTTTGGATGTAGTCTCAGTAGACTCAATAGGTTTTGGCTTTGACATCAGTGAAACTATCAACCATAAACCCTGCCATCAGCAATGTAAACACCAAAGTACCATCAGATGACCACAGGAATAATGGGATGAGCTGTCAGTCATAATCCAAGTGATAAAATTTGATTTACTCTAAGTGGCTTAAAGGAAATGTTCTTAGTTTGATTTGTTTTAGTTTTGGGGGCTTATTGTAATGGCTGGAGAACAATTGCCAACACTGCTTAGACAGAAAATTTGTCTTTTCCAAATATTTTAACAAATACTATTGATTAATTTTACTGACTTTCTTTTGCGGGCCAAAAAAAAACTGACTCTCATAGAAATTTTTAATAACATTTGAAAAATTGAGTAGGATTTGAAACAGAAAAGGCAGTATAGGAAAAAACACAGGTATAGGTGGGATGAAACAGGCTTTGAAATTGAGGTAGGTGATGCTGTAGTTTGAGGGTCAGCATGATAAAAGTTGCCAGAGAGGGAATAGAATCATGCAGGACACTTTAAGGTGAAGGAAAAAAATAGATGCAGAGAGAGTGAATGAAAGTAAAGAAGTAGATTTTAGATGAACTGTTTTGTTGAAATCTTTTTTCTTCTGCTTCAAAGCACTGTCCTAAGTATTCACTTACCCAGAACTTCTGTTTCTGTCCATTTTTGTCACGTAATGCTCCCCACCTTATAGAAAAAAATGGTACTTTGATGAAATAAAAGCAATCAGAAAACAAAAGCATGTCTTAGTTAGTTGACGTAATTGCCAGTATCAGAACAAAGCATGAGTAATAAACCCTGATGATTCAAGTGAGGTTACCTGCTGACCTGCTAATGACAAGTCAAATTGCCATTAGTTATTACAAAAACTTAACACAAGTCTGGTTTTAGTTTTTCATTGCAAAAACCTGTTTTCATTGACAGAATCTCTCTTCTGGAGAGCTTTCCTTCTGAAATGTGTAGGAGTATTGAAACTAATGTGAACATATTTCTTAGCTCACCTGAAGTTCCCTAGGAATATAAAAGTTTTGTTAAAAGTTTCCAGCACCTTTACAGAAACAGCTGGTGAGGTGGTACTGAAAATATTCCTAGCTTTTCTCAGATCCAATTGCACTGCTGACAGCCTGATCTGTTTTATTGCATGGTGTGGAGGGAGTTGATGTTTTTGTCGTCTTTGAGGGCATAACTTTTGTGGAAACATCTATGAAATGATACAAGAAACTTTCCCTGCCTGACAAATGATAGGATTTGCATAGGATTTTCATAGAGGTGTAGCAGTAGCTGAACTGCATAATACTCTGATTTTTAGGCCTCACTTTATACACAGGGCAGAAGTTCCAAGCCAATCACCTGGATGTATTTCAGTGAGAAAGAGTTGCACTGCACACTTTAGGTAGTTAAGTACACATGTTTTTACTGCTGGAGCTTAAAGAGCTCTGTCTTGTTTTGAATTTATACAACAAATGTTTATCTAGTTACTATTCACAGCTCATGATGCTTGGGTGCCTATAAAAGGGTACAAATAAACAGAAAACCAAAGGTGTGAACTTTTAGATGTTTTTCCCCAGTGTAAAGTTAATTCTAGGATACATCAAATGCCATTGCTGGTGTATAGCCCATCAACACTGTATGTTTGAGCTGTATTTGTAGTGCTCCAGTCATTTTCAAAGGCAACCAGCAAATATATAATGAGAAATCCCATCCCACTCTGTGAATGGGGAAATGGGGATTTTTCTGTAACCTTTTTATTTGAATAACAACAGTTGTTGCATCAACTCTCCTTTGTTAACAGTGAACCATCATTTACATGGAATACCTGCACTTTTAGCCAAAGGGAAAAAGAAAAGGAAGACAAATTGGTGACTAGCAGAGAGATGAAGTGTGAATTGTAGTTGCAAGCACAAATTGTAGCTACTGGTCATTAAATTCAAGTAATCATAAAAACAATGTTTGTCATAATGATTCTGGAATGCAATTATTGTTTTTTAAAGAAGCCTCATGATGCGTTTTCATTACGACATGAATGTTCAGGGATTATCAATAATTGCTGTTTCTTTGCCAACTATATTTCAGATGCAATCTTTCACAATCATAAATTTAAAAAAAAAGTTATAGGCTTTTGAATTTCATATCAGATTCAGATTTACTTCTTTACTCGTAGCCATTTTACTAAAAAAAAAAAAAAATGACACCAGTTCTAATGTGGAAGTCCAATATTTACATCAGTCTCAAGGAAAGAGAAAAATTGCCTTTAATTTATATTCATGTATTCCTGCATTTTGTTCTACACATAATATCTCCCACTTGTTTGAGCATGATGATGACCAATTCCTACAGGGTCACATTCCTGCGGTTAAACGTTTTTCTAACATTTTTTATTTTCCAGAAGAGACAACTTCTAGTTTCATACATTAATAGGAATTTATTGATTCTCAGAAACATTTCTAAACAAAAGAAGACTTAGAAGCTGAGATTGAAAAGGAACCTTTTTTTTATTCTTGACTATACTGTATCCATGAATTTAGTTTCCCAGGGTTTGTGTCATCAGATATATAGGCACTTGACATATGCATTTTATTTACAGTTTAGAAAGAGCTGCTTTCTTATTAATCAGTGCCTATGGGTATTCACCAAATACTCTGAATTAAAGTATATTAAATTAAAATATAGAGGAGTGCAGTCAGCAGGTCAAGAGAAGTGACTGATTTCCTTTTTTTGGACCTGCCATTCTATATCCAGTGCCCAGTCTGGAGCTTCCCCACACAGGAAAGGCATTAACAGGCTGGGACAAGACCAGCAGGAGTCCACTGAGATGTTTGGGGTCTGGAGCACATGATGGATGAGGAGGGGCTGAGGGAGCTGTCTCTGTTCAGCCCTCAGGAGAGAAGGCTCAGGGCGGATATATTTGTTGTCTTCTTCTTCACAAAGAGAAGATAGAACAGACTCTCCTGATACATTTTGGTGGTCCCCCCACTGCTCCCCTTCCACACCCTCTACTTGAACCTTAACCTCCAGTGGCTGTAGTGATGGCTGCATCCAGCTAGTTCTAGATAGCATTCCAGATAATTTTCCCTGCAGAGTGGCAGCTCAGAGAAAGGGTTTATTGATCCCTCAAATTCTTCAAGACAAAAAGTAAAAAAAAAAAGGCATAATCCTGAAGGAGTTTAATGAAATAATTAAACTCCCAGTGGAATTAGCTCCCAAGTGAAATAGACAGAGACTTTAAAGTGAGTTGACACATTCTTGGACAACACCCATTAGAGAACAATACTGTAATTTCTGGAAGATGACCAAAAAAATCTAATCACACTCTTTTGTTTGCTTTTATGATTATTCCAGCTTGATGTTTACTCCAAATGAATGCCATTTTAAAAGCAAATGCTGGATCTCACTGGACTTGGATAGGGAATTTCTGAGGGTAATTTTTGCAAAGCTTTAGATCACTAATGTCCCTACTTTAGGTATTTTTAGGTAAACCTTTCAACCTTATGTCCTGGTTTCAGCTAGAATAATTTTTTCTCAGTAGCTGCTACAGCACTGTGATTTGGATTTGGAATGAGAGTGATGATAATATACTGATATTTTGGGGTTTGCTAAGTAAGGACTTTTTTTCCCTTTTGTCTCATAGTCTAACATTGAAGAGGAATGCAAAATAAACTAGGAGGGATTCTAGCTAGGGCAGGTGGCCAAAGTGACCAAAAGGATATTCCACACCACAGAATTTATAACCAGTATAAAAACTGGGGGAAGTTACCCAGAAACTTGTCCAATCTGGGTTCAGGAAGCAGGGTTCTGGTGTTGGTCTGGTGTTGGTGGTGAACAACTGCATTGTACAGCACTTCTTTTTCCCCTTTTATTATTACTTGCCATTATTTTTGTGTTTTACATTATTTTTTGTTATTAATCTGTTCTTATCTCAATCCACAAGTTTTACTTTGATTTTATTCCCCATTCCACTGGGGCATATGGGGGGAGAGGAAGTTGAGAGAGTGACTGCTTAATTTCCAGCTAGGCTTAAATCATGACACCATTTCATATCCAAGCTTTCTGTTTTAATTTAAAAGAAAAAGAAGGGATTTTAAGAAATCATTAAGAAGGTCTGTCTATCAATTACTGAAAATTACTTTTGAAAGGAAGTTTTCTTCTTTCTGGCAATGATATTCTGTAAGAAATACTTCACTTAGCTTTTCCAAAAGAAACTATCTTGATATTCAATCAAAAATAACCTTGAATAAAAAAAAGTAATTTCACAAAACCACATTCAGTCCCCTTCAGGAAAAAAACCAAAGCAATGTGTTTTCATTTATGCCAAGGAAACCTGCTTCGTATGACTCTGTAAAAAGAATTCTGTTGCTCTTTCAGATAAAAGGATGAGTACTTGTGGTCTTATATAAAATGATTTTCATAATTTTGTGTCCAATTTTATATAGGAGAGGCACCTTAGCTGTCCTTTTCAGTAATAAATTTCCCTCGATATTAACTCTGGAGGTGAATACACAGCTTTGTCTGACAGGTAAAAAGCTTGAATACAGGGACTGTTTCAGTAGTGTTACAGAGACTGGAAATTAGTTTTATTTGAACACTTCCTAGTTTGTTTTTCAATGAATACCACCACTTAAATGATGGTGGGTTTCACAAGAAAAGCATAAAGAAAGTTATCAGGAAAAAAGTAAGCTGATAATTAATCATTGAATAAAATAATAAAAAATGGAAAATATAACCAACACAATGAAGAGGGTTATCAGCAGTGGCTTCAAAACTAGGGTGTTTTGGCAGATAACAGAAACAAGATTCAAGTGTACTTACACTCTCTTTTGAAGATAAAACAAAGTTTTCTTAACAGCAAATATAGTGAAGACTTCTGAAGAGTGTGATAAATAATATTATACAAACTGACCCCCTAAGACTGAAGATATGAACTGAAAACAAATATGGTCTCAAAAATAAAGAGGTATGGCAGATCCTAGATCTTGAGCTAATTTCTACAGATTAATTGTTATGAGTAGAAGTCAATGCTTTGCATTAACCAGGGATTTAAACTGCTTGCTGGACAGAAATATATACAGTCCAAAACCTCTCACCTCAGTTTATTCCCTGGACTTGGTTGTATAACTGTCATAATGCTACCAGAATAAAAAAAGGTGTAAGTATTACACCTTAGTGCTGGATCACAAAAGCCTAGTACACTTCAAAAACTAGCAATTGTATCTACTCAATTAGACAAAAGTTTAATTCTTTATCTTGTATTAAAAATAAGAAGGTTAGGGTCACTGACTAATGTTCACCACAAGAAAAAACTTCTTAGAAAATGTTTGATGGAATTTGAAACTGTAGTTCTGCATAGACCTTTCAACGTGAGAGGTGAGTCAAATTGAGTCAGTGAGCCAAGTTAAATCACTCCCACAGATCCCACATATCTACTGTGATTAATTGTATGGGGGACAGTCTCATGGATTTAACTGCATGAATCATCAGACACTGTATCTTTTCCTCATGATCTTCTCATGTATTTCTCTTTACTGTAAAATGTTTGAGTGTTGCTGTTTAATTTTTAACTATAATACCTGATGTTGATTATCTGACAAAGAAAAAGTGATTATTTTTTTCCCATGAAAGAAAAAGGGAACTCAAAGAAACTCAAGTTTCTTTTTATATGAACAAAACTGTTTTGGTTTTGACTTTTGATGGTTTAAGATATTACTTGTTTGTAGATATTCTGAGTGGAAGCTCGAGTGAGGGCAACTAAAGAGAAAAATATAGAGAAAAACAGTCTCCGAAGCCAAAACCCTAGATATCAATAACAGTAGTCAAGACTTTGGACTTTGGACTTTGGACAGGTGAATAATTATGTATTAAATCTTGGAATGTTGTTTCTCTGTCTGGCTGTCTACGCAACACTAAAACACAAACTCTTTGCCTCATATATAAATTTTATCTGCATTAGTGTGGCTTTTTGTGTTAAACATTCAACCAATGTTTTTTCAGGGCATAGAAGTTTCAGTTCAGTAGTTGGCTAAGCCATTTAATCTGCTGAATTATTCCATTTAAATCTCTCAGTGAATTGCTAATTAAAATAGAGGGGAAATATGTTTCCAGTTAATGTACATCTCAGTGTCCTCTTATTAAAGCTTTTTGTCATTCTGAGCTCCTTCCAAGCATTAAAAATCTATCTTGTTCATGAATGATTATCAAGGCTTTTGATAATATTTTCTTGTTTCCTCCAAGCCTTAAAGTGATGGTACACAGATTCAATTGCAGACAAAGGCATGGGCTTTTGAGACCTTCCTGGATTTTTCAGTGTTATGGCTTCAGCAGTTGCATCTTTTTAGAGAGGTATGGATCATAAATTACTAAATTACTAAAGTAATTCAGAAATAAAAGTCTGAGAGATTTGTCTGAACAAGCTGCAAACATTCATGATGGATACTTTAGTTCACTAACTTTGAAAAGAGATCTGTTTGAACTAGAACCACAGCTACTCCATCCAATGTACTTCCTTGACTGACCTGTACTTTCCTTTCCAAAGAGACTATGGCATTTTATACCAACAGATCTGCCCCAGGTTTTCTTTTCCTATGGACATTACATTTCTTTTCAAAGGAAGGCAGTCTAAACATTTAAAATCCTTCTGGTCCAATGATCAATTAGGCAGTTTATATGTGCATTTCTGGTTTTGTGCAAATAACTCTTGAGAGCTTCATCAAAATGTACTTGCATTTTATTACTCTGTTGCTTTATATGTTGCACAATTCATAGACAATTTAAAAAATGTTTCTGAGATATTAAAAATACCAGTTTAATAGGGTCAGTCATTATTATGGCTGCCTTTTACAAGTATTGAATCTCTTTTATGAAAGAGATTATAAATAAAAATGAGCCTACAATAAACATCAACCCACACAAAACTGCATTTTTTATTCCATCTATCAGCATGTCTCTGCTCCTTTTTGTCTCTCCAGAAGCCATCTCAGCTAAGCAAAATGCAAATGTTCATCAGTGTTTTTATCTGAAGTACAACTATGATGAGATTCCCATGAGTTTTTTATTGAGATCAAGGACTTTAAATTTTCCTTTTCTTCCAAGCTACATATGAGTGACAAAGAACTTACACCATGACACATATTTTGCATTCAAATTCATTGAAACTAATAAATTATATTAAAAAGTGCTGGCTTAATCCTGAAGACATTGAAGTCTATACAAAGAAGTGGTTTAGAGTTCATGATGCAGAATCACATTTTATGGCTGGATTTGTCATTGCTAGAAACACCTACCTTAAGGCTCCAACAGCCTCCAAGTTGTCAAGATCAAATTCAGTTTTTACAGGTAAACAGCTCTAAAAATATTTTTATATGGAACAATCTTGAAGGCCACAACATTTGTGCCTTAGACAAGGATTGGTAATTCTTTATATTGGTGGATCCACTGGACACTTCAGAAATATTCAAATTAATTAAATGAGTTAGTAAGAAAATGCATTCCCCCCATATTAAACTCTGAACAACTCTGAGGTTTCTTAGCTAATATCATCTTCAGTGTTCTCCTTTTCTCCTTTTTCCTTCACTTCTAACATTCTTTTTCAGTACATCAGATCACTTGTCTTTTCTCCTCTCTGTGTTTAGCAGTGGCCATTTAACACAATCCTGTGTCTTAGTCAAGGTGCTCAGATTTTGCTCATAGTGGCCCCTTGCCTAAGGGTTGCTGTATTTTCTTTGCACAGCCTGTCAGTTCCCATTTAAATCAGCATCCACTTCAGCACAGAAATAGAGAATCACAGAATATGCTGACTTGCAAGGGACCCACAAAGATCATTGAGTCCAACTCCTGGCCTTGCACAGTACACACCAAGAGTCACCTCTTGTGCCTGAGAATACTGTCCAAATCCTTCTTGAGCTCTGTCAGGCTTGGTGCTGTGACCACTTCCCTGGGGAGCCTGTTCCAGTGCCAAACAGCCCCTGGGTGAGGAACATTTTTCTGATATCCGACCTAAACCTCCCCTGACACAACTTCAGGCCATTCCCTCAGGTCCTGTCACTGTCACCACAAAGAGATCAGTGCCTGCTCCTCCTCCTCCCCTCACAAGAAGCTGTAACTGCAGTGAGGTCTCCCCTCAGTCGCCTCCAGGCTGAACAGACCAAGTGCCCTCAGACACCCCTCATATGGTTTCCCCTCAAGGCCCTTCACCATCTTTATTGCCCTCCTTTGGACACTCTCTTGGAGTTTAATGTTCCTTTTTATATTGCAGCGCCCAAAACTGCCCCCAGCACTGCAGGTGAGGCTGCCCCAGTGCAGAGCAGAGCAGGACAATCCCCTCCCTTGCCTGGCTGGCCATGCTACCCTGATGCTCCCAGGACAGCGCTGACACTCCTAGCTGCCAGGGCACTGCTGGCTCATATTCAACTTTCAATCAGCCAGGATCCCCAGGTCCTTTTCTATGGCACTGGTTTCCAGAATCTCATTTCCCAGTCTGTCTATACATCCAGGGTTGCCCCATCTCAGGTGTGGAATCTGGCACTTCCTGTTGTTGAACTTCACATGGTTGGTACATATGACACATTAGTTATCTCCTCTTCTCTCCCTCCTCAGCCATCACTTTGTCCCCTGGTGCCATTCTTGCATAATCACTCATCTGGGTAGGTTATTCTGCACAAATGTGGAGCAGCTTGTCTTAGGGAATAGTTGTCATCACCCTATGCTTGCACCAAGCTTACTTCACATCCCTCCCAACACCTGAACTTACAACCTCACAGCAACTCATCCCAGAGCTAAAGTATTCAAATTGCACTGCAGATTTTACTGTCAAGTGTTATTGGTTTCTCACAGCTGTTATCTTAAATTCACATGCAAAAACCAACACATACCATCTCTCCTCCATAAACATATTTTCTTAATTCAGTGCACCATTTTTCTACATTAAATTCTAGTTTCTATTTTTCACTTTTTCACAATATTCTCTATAATGATAATTTGGGAGTTTTTCCTCTATTAGCCTGAGTGAATCAATACTTTTTGCAGCAGTATCAAAGATGATCTTGTGTAAGCCTGCTTCTCCTCTTTGTTTCTATGCCACTATCAAGCATGCTCTTGTAATCCATAGGCAGCAGTTTCCACAACCACAGGCAGTCCCATGCCCTTCATGAAGACATCTTCACTAAGATCCCAAGCACAAAATGCACCTTATTTTGCAATTTCATGTTCCTGAAGTACTTGTTGAAAATACTCTCAGTAATCTTCCTAGCACATATTGAATCGGTATTTATATGAGATTCTAGACCGCCAATAAATTTTTTTTTTGAGATTCCACAGTCATTTTTCTGTGTATTCACTCTCTGCTTTAATAAATTCATCCTTGCATATTCCCTCCATGGAAAAGAGTAAAGCCCTGTGGTATGTTCAGTAATTCAAGCATATGCATTATTATCGATACTTTTCTTCTTAACATAGTGGCCCTGGTCAATGTTTGAGAGGAAATCCACTGGTGTACTACACACATGCTTCTGAAGCAGTTTCCCACATAAAATCAGCAGCATCTCAGCAGCAGCTGGTTTCTGTTCAGGGCACAGAGAGCCATTCCCTCAGGTCTTTACTGCTGTGCCAGTAAGCTGTGTCATTTAAGTGAGAGGTTTCTGTCAATTTTTATATTTCTATTTGCATTCTGTTTGATGGAACATTTGAAGAAAATTATATAAACCTTGTTCACAACTTGATATGTACTTGGAATATTTGTGAATACCCAACCAAGTATTTTATGGGGGATATATATATATATATATATATACATATGTAATTGTTTTTAGTGTGTACATCATGGGTTTTAACTATAACTATATAGGGTTTAATTGCTTATTCTATAAACATTATATTTGAAGTTTTTTAACAAATATAAGACTAGATTAAAAGATGATGGATCTACACCTCTTTTCAATACTCTCTAAAATTTGTAGACAAGGCAAAAATGAAACAAAATGAAACATCAGTCTTATGTTGGGAGCTAGCAGTGTTCCATCTGTGACAGTCAAATCTTTGGGTTCCAAACTGGTCATTGACATTTTATTACACTCATTACACTCATGACTGGCAGAGAAAAAAGGGTAAAAGAATGTGCTTTACTCACCCAAGGAGTTTGACTGAATGAGTTTTCCATTTAGATCCTGCTTTCTGGGAGCGTCGATATATTCCCTCTTTGTACAGGAAAAAATCTTCATACACTTTCATTATAGCTGAAAAACAATAGGAAAAATCACCACAGTAAGCAAACTTTACTTCTGCTCTTCTTTGCTCCTTGAATTTTACCAGTGAAATTCTTGTTGTGTACTTTCTAATTCCACTAAAAACATCAGTTTCTCAGAAATGCCCTGCTGTGAGCGAACCAATAGAAATACTTCAAGAGAGTTCTCTCCAAAATCTCTTACCAAGTTTGATGGCTTTCCTTGTCACAGAAACTCCCTCTCATTGACTTTTTCCAATGCAGTAAGAAGAAACATTGCCACATGAAGGCTTACATAGATTTTGAAATCTAATTCAGTAAAATTTATCTCCTCAAGATTCATACGTAAACTACTCAGTTTTGAATAGAATCTTCATATTTAATAAAAGTATTTAGCAGAAAATGTATATCCTGTGAAGTATGGTGGAGTGACATGCCTTTTTCTGAAACTTAAAGTTCATCAAATACACAGTAACCTCCTTAAAGAAAACTAAATTTTTTGTATATGTATAAATCGTGACTGCTAGTTAAAAATGTGGAAAAAATATCCCCTTTTTTCATAAAAATTTTAGGTGAAAGAGCTGATGAACTGAAAATTTTGTACAAGAGAATGAAGATTACAAGTTGCATTTAATGCCTATTTATTATTTCATTCAACATTCATTTGTTTATTAAGAAAATAGCTCTGGGTTTCTTTTCCACGTATGTTCTGCCACCTTAGTATCATTTGTTTTATGGTGGGCTACCAGATACAGAGAAATGAAAACACCTTTCAGGTCTACATTACCTCTAGATTCCAGTGAATTAGAAGCATTAAATATAAGCTTCATTCCATCTTATTTTTAGCTTGTGATTTTAACTGACACACAGCTTGGGACATAAGAATTAGTGAAATCAAATCTCCTAAAGTCTTGAACATTGTGAGTCCAAAAAAATTTAAGTTTCACTGACCATTTTTTATATGGTTGGACCATTTATAATGTGTGTGCCTGATATAGATCTGCAGTATTCAGTAAGTTGAGCTCATGCTGTCATGTTTTTCTCTCTGACATGCTTACAAATTTGTTTTTCATACTTGAAATTTTCATAAACTTGAAGGAAAAACTTGTATCTTTACAAAAACCTCTGTCATATTTGACTGAAGATATAAAACAGACAAAAATTTTAGGGAATGAGAGAGAATTCTCAAAACATGGTGAAATGAGGCCATTTGCCTTGCCATGGACAAGCCTGATATTGTGCCCCTTCCCCATCACATGTTGGTTGAAGTTCTGCCAATGAGACCCGCTGTTCCTTCCTCTCTGAGAAAGGTGAGTCCCATCTTCTGCCAGCATGCCTGGTGCTTAAGCCATTCCATTGTCAAAAACACACAACATTTTAGCCATGATCCCAGCCATGGAGCCATGGCTTTTTCTTCCAGCCCACCTATTTCTTCCAGTGTTGCTGCCTTCAACTGTAAGTACAAGGAGAATATACCTTGTGCCCCAAATGAGACACATTCTTGTCTGCAAAGAGATATCATACCTGTTTTGTTTTTTTTCCATTGAAATGAAGTAGAAATTTTTGGACTGTATTTCCAGAATAACTTTAGTTTATGTGATAGAATTTTATCCATTATTATATATTATATATACATTGCACACATGTATACAATACATTTGTATATATGTGTATATATATATGCCCATGCATATGTAATACCTTGCAATCAGGAGCTAAATAATGGTGCAGTCTTTGGAGTTAGAGTGGTCTGGATGCATGAGGGACAGGATGGACAAAGATGATGATGATAATATTAGATCTAGCACTGAGATATTTTTATTTATTCAGTGACTTTGTCCTGATACAGACTATGACTTGGACAGGACAAGGTGATCACAGTCCACCACCTAATTTTGTTCCCTCTCACATAGGAGAGACTTTCCATTTCCCAAAATGAATGTATTAATTTTTAATGAATCAGAAAAGGCAGATTTTCATAAGGCTGACTATAGTTCATGCATGAGCTACTTCAGTTATGCTGAGCTTGTCAGATCTATGCATATAGGTACAGCAGATTAAAAGATTGATTTCACTATGGATTCCCCTCCATAAAATTCTTAAATATGAATTTTTGTCTCTTTTTAATCATACGGAGACATAAGAAATGAAAACTAGTTGCTACAAAAGGAAACAAAGTTTAGCTCTATATATCAATATAGCCAAGTTCTTTCTACATATTGTTTTCTTGTGTTAGCAAATATAATTTTTTTTTCCAAGATCATGACAGCTGAAATTGTAAGTTTTGTGGTAAGTAAGTTTGTGTAAGTTTTCTGATGTATTGCCAACAATGTGTGAGCCTTTCTTTTAATCAAGACTGATTAATGTGTCAGAGAGGATAATTTTCCTACATCAGCATTTTAACCGTCAGAATATTTCCTAAAGTCCATGAAAAAAAAACGCAAAAAGATGAATGGGCAATATTAGATTGTCCATCTGGCAGTACTCGTGAAATTTCACCATGTTTACTTGAAAATGGATTTCTTAAAAAACTAGTATTTCATCTTTCAATCCAAAAATGCTAATTGCTCAGTTTTTGTACCAGGTAAGACAATGACTAAGGTCAGAGAGAAATTGTCATTCAAACTTGAAAGCTGTATAACACAAAATCTTCAATTACACTCCTAAACCTACTACTTCACTGTTGTTAAAAAACCATATTTTTTTCTTAACTTTGAATATGTCCAAAAATCGAAGTCCATTCATCATCATGATCTTGAAAGGATCTTGAATGTTTCCCAGCTATTAAACATTACTTAGGCCATTAGATAAGACTGTCCCTAAGCACTTTGTAAATTCTTCAGGAATGACAAGTGAATGAATAATGGAAAACTTCCTTCATTATTTGAAGATCATTTGCAGAAAAAAGTACTATATGGTTTTAAAATTAGACTTTTGCCCTGGTTGCATTTTTAATATGAGAAGATAGCAGAGAGGATCAGTGAAAATTTACAGGATCATAACTGTGATTTATTTAATGCTCATATTATAGCCAAAGAAAAAACAGCAAGTGATTTCACTCAGTGATGCATAATCTTGGTTATATGCCATTATGTAGATCTTGATTTTTCTTAACCTGATAAACAAAAAAGCATTAAAATTTAAAAAAAATTTGTAAGAATTGTTGAGTGGCTCAGTCATAACAAATGGATAAATATTGATTATTTAATGTGTAAAATTTAGTATTAGCAGATTAATCCAGCAAAATGCATACACAGACTATGAATGCAATACTTGAGGTCTGAAACTCTGTCTTGAAGATCCCAATTTTTATAATTTTCTAAGAACAGCAGAAATTACTGTCTTTGCATCTAGATCAAATGTAGTGTGGGAAATAATATTTTCCTTGAGCAAACAAACTTGGACAGAACAACAAAAAAAGACAGATTATGTTAATCTTGTTAAGTCTGAGCTTCAGATGAATTGCAGCTGCCCACATAAAGCCCTTTAAGTAATTTGAACTCTATGATGCACCAAAATTAATTCTATCTAATAATCAAAACCATTTGAATAATAAATTGAAGATTATGATAACTCCTTGTATAATTAAAGGCAGTAGAAATGCAGAAGTCCCCTGAAGTAGAATTCTTCGGTTTTGCATCAGCCATCCATCCAAGACAGGTGGAGATCCTGCACTATGACCTTTCTCTATCATCCCAAGCCCCACATCCATCAATCTCTCTAGTTATACTGGCTTGGGATGTGAGCAGAAACCTGCATTTTCAGCTGCTGCCAGCAGCATTCATGGCCACAAATGGGCACGGGTATCCAGGTAATCCGGAGTAAAAAAATAAAAAATAAAAAAAAATTGCAGTTCCCTACTCAATGCTGAAGTCTATTTCTGACCTCTGAGAGGTCAGGAATCTTAATTGCAGAGTTCAGCAGAAAAATTCAAAACCAATAGGCATCAACAAGAGCATTTGGCCTCTGAAATGAGAAATTCAGGGGTATTTCAGTACTGAATGGTTTCCTGGAAGGCCCATACAGTTCAGCATTACCTTTAGAGAGCAGGTCTGGTGGCATGGCCTTAGCCAGTGGGGAATCAACTCCAGCCCTAAAGAACTGAGTTTGGCTAACATTTAATTCCACCTGCACAGCCACAGATTGCTATTTCATCAAATGCCATGAAAAAAGGCACAGATTTCCTGCACACAGATTTTGCACATATTTTCAACATATCCAGCTCAAGGTCATTTTACTCTTTATAGGCTCTGATGCACTCATGCTGCCTTCAGGGACACTCTTTACCCACCAAATGTGCCTGGATGAACTACAGTGCATATGACTGGTTTCTTCACTGTGGCATATTATTTTCTACTATTTTGATACAAGGTCATTGCACAGTCTAGTTATTTCAATAATGTTACCATCCTTTAAATTTACTGTACCTTGCACTGGTCCTCTGTCCTTGATTTCTTTCATTATATCAGTTTCCTGAGAGGTGAGAGCAGCAACAGAGAGAACAAGGGAAGATAGCATTTATTAAATAAAACTATAACTCATGCTAATTTATCATTGTGTGCACATATATATAGCATCAATATACCTTTGTACTTGTATTTCTGCTGGAGAATATTTGTTTTACCAAATTAACCAAACCTTCAGAAACATGTTTAAGAAGAACAATTGTACTGCTATGACTGCATACTTTATTTTTCTAATTTCTATGGGACCACAAAGTATCAGCTTGAAAGAGATGATGTACGACTGAGAAACAATGAAGAATTTCAATTCTTAGGAAAATTACAGGGCAACAAAAAGGAAAATTCACAGCTCTAGTCCTGAAGTTAAATAAATGTATTTTAATATTCCAGGTAATAGTCAAACCCCAAAGGAGTAAAATTGTTGAGACAACAGATAAATTTCATGAACTTACTTTTGAGGACACCCTGTAGTGAGAGGCACACCGGTATAACCGATTGGATTTTTCAAAAGCATTGGGACATGGCCCATTTGTATGGTTTTTTCCGTGCTCACTTGACACATAACACTGATTTTCAGCTGACGGCCCCAGGTGTTTGTTCCAAAATGATGGATAACAAGCATACGATACAACCCTGTTCAGGTATTTTAAAAAATAGTTGATAAGAAGCTTGCTCAAACATTTTTGCCATTTTACTTCAAGCTTTTAATTATTTTGCAGCTGTCGAATCTCAAGTAATATTCTTCAGAAATGTGAATGGCATATCTTCAACTGGATGGCATTTCCTTCAGTTGAGATACATGATAATTATGATTAAGTTTCTATTACCGTAGTCCTCTCCCCACCCTTCTCCAAAGAAAGACAGGGCAAAAAAATGTATTTAGTACTTGTCACCTTGTACATTCATCTCATTAATGTTGCATGAAAGTTCATGCTGAAAAAGATCAATAAATTACCAATTTTTTTCAATGGGCTTCATTTATCAAAAATGGCTTGTGAAATGGAATACATGGAATACTGTTAGACATTTCTGAAACAATATACATGTTTCTGCATTAATGCCTTGAAGGCCTATGAGAGAGTTTATTTTACAGAGCACAATTAAATATTTTGCCAAAGCAGAATACTTTAAAATAGTTAGTCCTATGAAAAGCATTTGTATTGATGTAGCTCATCGATTATACTGGACTCTCTGAACCTGAGGAACAGAAAACTATGTTTCTACACAATATGGAGTGTAACTATGCTTACCTGTGCATGCTTAGCTGTCAAGAGTCTTACAAGATAAGCCTATATATGCTGCAGCTGTTTTGAATAAGACATGGCATTTTACCATTATCATTTGGTGATAGAAAATCTGAGAATGTCTTTTTCTTTCTGCCCAGAGTAGACCACATACACAGCAGCACACTGGAGCTGCATGGTATACCAGATAAGATCTCTCACTCTGAGCTAAGAGTCGTGTCTGAATCTTTTCACCAACCACAGTTTCTGCAGCCTTGATTAACAAAATTGAACAGCTTACTGCTGAAGCACAATTTTGTATGCGCTGAGGCATCAGCACAACAGTAAACGCTAAGAATGCTTCAAGGAGAAGACCCTTCCAAAAGAGTCATAGAAGAAAAACTGAAATAGGTGTGAATATATTTATATGCACAAATGTAGATACATATATACAAAATTAATGTTAGAAACAAGCAGGATCCAGGGCCAACCAGGAAAACTCTGTAGTGTGTTCATACATTCTTGACAGAATTCATCTGAAGTCCCGTTTGTGTGTTCAATCTAATGAAAATCTTGTGGATTTATTGCAAGACAAAGAGAAAGTGATATTTAAACTGTGTTTCAGTTCCACTTACAGCAGATTTCACTGTTAATTGGATGTTTAGTGATTCTGAAAAGTCAGGTCTCAGCACAGGCCTAGCTTCATTGAGCTTTATGGAAATCTTTTTCTGACTTCACTGGGGATAGTTTAGGTCAGCGTTTGATTTTTCTGAACATCTGTCCGAAGTCTGAGCTAAGTACACTCCAGAAATCAAAACAGCAGAAAATTTAAACAGCATTGAACACTTGCTGTGATAATTTACAAGGCCCCACAGAAAATCAATGTGTTTTCTCCCTATTGCAGGGTATGGAGATAATGAAACAATGATTGCCATATAATGATTCCTAAAAATAAGTCACCTCAAAGTGTGAGGAAGCAAGGAATATTTGACAGGGTTCATTCAAAAGACACTCCTGACTTGTATGCCATAAATTTCCATTTTTTTTTCATTGTCACAGGTAAAAGGTTATGGATTATGGAGTTTAGCTGCAAAACTGATTAAATTGTGAGTCCAGTGAATCAAAAATTGTTTGTTTTGGGTTTTTTTATTGTTGTTCTTGATATTATTTGCTCTTGGCTACTCCCAGAGACTTAACATTGGGCTAGACAGACCCTAGCACAGACCCAGAAGTGCTGTTCTTATGTTCTTTCACTATCTGTTCTAAAGATAGTTGGTTATTTCCCTTAGCGTGTTTATTTGTGTCTGGAAATGTTGGAATGGGTTTTGAAATTTCATTTGAACTTGAGGAAAGAAAAGCAGAATGTAGAAATGTTAATAAAAATAGTTAAGTAGGGATACTCACATGTGTGGTGCTTTGATGACAAATGAATGATCCAAGATAAAAAATGGGTAGCAAGCAAAGGTCTGTCACAGCGCAGTGATGTTGTATGTGTTGGAGCTAGCTCCATGGCAACAAAAAAGAGTAATAAATGACTAAGAAAATAATCCTGGATTGCTGAGATTTGTTGGCAGTTTAGATAGTTTCCAAAAATTCCTGATGGTTTTCTCAACTGCCCTTCAGATTCTTTACTGAGATGATCAGCCGCAAGAGGCTGGTGAATAACATGAGGCTGAGCAATAAGCAAGTACTTGGGAGTGTGAAGGTGAAAAGACAGTTCACAGGTGTGCTGTGTGAGCTGAGGTGGTGTGGCTCTGTTTCCAGGCTCACATCAGTCAGAAAGCCTGCTCAGCACAGCACTGTCACACTGCTGCTCAGTCAGGTCAAACATAATGTTACTGCATTCACACCAGAACAAACTCCTGCGAGGGTACAGCTAGGTTGATAATGAAGTGCCTTGTAGAGCTTCAGCCTGCCTTGCTTTTCTTTCAAAAATAAGCTAACTCTTTTATACTTAAATTGCTTCTGCATAACAGGCCACGTCACTAACCACGGTTATAAGGTCAAAATAATACTACATTCTGGCATAGGAAGAATTTTATTATTATGGAGCTCATGGTAGCTGTGCCTGAACATGGGTAACAGTCAGAGGGAATAGAAAACTAGGTTGTCTTCTCACTGCATTCTTTACATCTTTTCCTCTAAAAATAACATGTTCCAACTGTTGTGGAGATAATGCTCATTAAAATTATTCTCACTTCTCTTATCTACACTAGCAATTCTTGTGCTCCTGTTTTTAACAGGCAAGAAAACAGTCCAGAGAGAAAGAGTTGCAATTACTCTCCGATAAACATGAGCTACTGAGTAAAATGAGATTGTTCTTCTAGTTACTGAAAAGTATTGCAGTTAAAAAGTGCTTACAATTAAAATGTCAAGTTATAACTTTCATTTCCTCATGAATGAAGCCTTTTCCCTTAGCTCCTGAGGTAAGGCTGAGGGGCCTTTTCTGGGTAAAATCACTCAGCTGAAGGATCTCTTGCTTAAAACCTAAATGAAAGCCAGTTTAGTGTTGAAACCCTGAGAGGAAAAGACAGAGGAGTACTCGAAATAAACTCTCCTCATAACAGTACAAAATCCTTGTCATATCAGAAATAGTTTGATACAGTAGCAAAAAGCAGAATTATCACTTGTAGAGTGTGACAGGGCTTCTCCTGGATCCCCAGAGTGCCATGTCAACAATGACACATCATATCTGACATTCTTTTGCTCTTGACATTGTTTGTTTGTTTGTTTGATAAAAAAATCAAAACTTGACATAGAGAACACCTGAAATTTCTCTGTCAGTTTCAGATATATCAGAGTAAGGAATGAGATTGTATGAAAGCAAGACAGGAAATAGATTTTGGTATGAAACAGAAAAGACAAAAACTCCCGGTAATGTGAGAAACTGCAGGATTTAATTATATGGTATCTAAAATGAAGTTATTGAAATTCTCCTGGAAGCCATTTCCAGGTATACAAACTTCAAGGAGTTGACTGAAAGCAGGATGTGCACATTTACCATGACAGGTAATGATGATATGATGAGACAGTCTGACCATGATGAGATGACTGGCTCCATACAGAATAAGGAAGTATCTATCATTTTTACCTTGTCTTTGGTGACATTTTCAGCATAGGTTCTGTGGTGTTCCTCTAGTTTAGTGGATTAGGTGAATTGTTTACAAGGTCATTTGTGGACTGGCATGTTGAAAGGTTGGCAGGTCAAAGTGACTGGTGTCAGTGTATTAATGGCATTCCCCAGGAGACAACACAAAAGCAACACTTTTGCATCTCTATTAACAATCTGGACAGCCAGATGTAAGGCACCCTTAGCAAGTTTGTGGAGAATGTAAAAGTTTTAAGGAGTGATTAGTATGCATGGCTGCTGTTCAGAGCAGTGTTAATAGGCTGAAGAAATGAGGCTGACAGAAATATCCCAAATTTCAACAAAGACAGATGGCAAATCCTGCCTCTGAGCCAGAACTGCCCAGGTACTGGCAGGGCACTGCCAGTGTAGAAAGTCGCTTCACAGAGAAGGACATGAGGTCCTGAGAAACAGAAAGTTGAATGTAGATGAGCAGTGAGCCCTCTTGGCAAATGTGGACAGTCAATACTGGGCTGTGCTACCAGCAACATAACCAATTGTGAAAAATTAATATTCCACTCAAATTGCTACTCAGCAGATGGAGCTGTATTTTCACTTATGTGTTCCCTGGGAAAGACACTGACAAACTGAGCGAGTCCAGTGGAAGGCACTTAGGGGACTGGAGCTGAGGCAGCTGGACTTGTTCAGTTTAGAGAAGAGAAACCCAAAAGAGTGTATCATTCCTGTCTTCAGCTGTGTAAGGAGAGGTATAGAGGAGACAGAACAAAACTCTTGGAGATACCCAGTAAAAAACTGGAAGGTACCAGTCACAAGCCCTACCAAGGAAAATGCAGATATAAGAAAAAAGTATTTGACTGTAAGTCAAACTGACCTGATGCAAGAAAGGTTGTGGGACCTCCACCCTTGAAGATACTCAAAATGTGTCCAGGGACATGGCCTAAACAGCCTGATCTAATTTCAAAGTCATGTTTTGAGCAGAATGTTGGATCAGGTCCCCTCCAAAGTTCCAACCAAAATAATTTTGTGATTCCATAAATGATTATATCCCATTTAAAGTTTCTAGCTGTTCATGGGGAATTTGATAGCTCTTAACTCTGCTTTGTCTGAGCTGAAGGAAGAAGGATGTAGGTAACAGTCCTTAATAGAGTGTTGCACCCAGGAATAACCTTGGGATGAGATGATTACAAGTTGCTTTACAGAGAAAAGATGTTTGAGTCTTTTGAATATTCACAATGTTGTCTCATGCAACTGGCTGCTTACTCAAGGTTGTTTCAAATGAAGAGCCTGTATTCCAAGAAACACAGAAATCTTAAGTACATTTATGGTACTGTCTTATTGCAACTTAAGCAACTGGCTCAATTTTAAATAATCTAAACAGCCAGATAAAATATTTACCCGTGTGTTTTCAGATACCTCCAGGCACCATCAATACTTCCACCATTACATCCATGTTGATTCCTGGTATCACAAGAGATCAAGTTCTGAGCGGAAAGGTTGTCTGTGATCTGACCCTTTGAATGAATTGCTATTCTATCTGCTGCAACACCTGTTTGAAAATAAATTTTCTGTTACCAAGACCAAAGAATTATTCACAACTTTACATTTGTTTTTGTGAAAGAGGGACAGAAATACAACCTCAATATTTTCTGTCTGTGCAGATATCTTCACTAAATAATACTGTTATAATCTGTCCTGACTTCTGTGAGAGAGGATTGTGAAACTGCAAAGCATCATGAGCAACTTTGCAGTTATATAACAAATTCCTAGATTTACTGGCAATTATAAAGTCCCAAATATCTAAACATCAGATGAGACACTTGTATAATTGTCTCTACCATGTTTGTAAATGCATATTCACATCTGGTTGTCTTCAGCAGAAGAAAAAAATACTTCCCAGCTTTCTGCAACTGAATCTTCAAATCTTTTTGCTTTCTTTTCTACCTTTCTTTCCTTTATGTGAGGCATTAAAAAAAATAAAAGAGCAGTCTTACAAAGAGGAAAATTCAAGACTGAAAGTATATATTGGTTTTATTACAAAGAATACTTGGAGGTATTCATATTGAATTATAAATGTAGGAGTCTTTGTACCTCCTTCCCTTATTATACAAAATTATTCCTCAGACATAGATACCTTATCTGAATTCAATCAGATAAACAGGATTCTTAGTACTTATATATTTATGAACTGATTTAAAGGCAGACTAGGTTAACTAAGTTGTGGGTGAAACTAAGGTACTTTTACTTTCTTTATCTACTGACAATGAAACTATCATTAAGCTTCACTGCCAGTCATTACTTGTGATAAAATTTTATTTGTAGTATTTTTAGCCCCACAGTTTTGAATTTCAAATATTTTTTTAAAAAATCTCTTGAAATCTAAATCCCCATCAAAATCAACACTAACTGTCATGAACTCTGAGGAAGACTTCAGAAAAGGAAGTTTGCTAATGTCAGGTGACAACTGTATTTTGTGCTTTTCTGATGTATCCTATGACAATGAATTTATTTTTATAGGTATAAAAGCCTTTTATTTTGAAGTTTTGGAATATTTACAGAAATTATTAATGATAAGAAAAAATTATACAGCAGTGCTTGTCTGTTTATATAGAAACTATTCATCTCGAAAATTCAGACTGAAAATGTTAGACGCACCTAAACAACATATTAAGGCATCTCACGCTACATCACTTTAAAAATTATTATGTGAATTAAAATAAAAATATCTGTTTATGGAAAGGAAAAATTAGACACAATATCTGCAGTCTTTCAGTGATCTCTGTTCATCTCTGCAGTTAACTGTCAAAAGAGTTGTTAACAGTTCTCTTGGTTTTCTCTTTTTAAAACTGCAGTGGATAATATATATCAGAAAAAGTGCATGTTTAGTCTGTTTTTTTCAGGGAGATGGGATTAGCTGGTCTAAACACTCCTTTCATTCTCTCACTGCTGTGATTTAAAGAAGCAGTTGCAGAAACCTTCACCTGTGAGGACCCACTGGCCAGGTTAAGTCATAAAGATTGATTGCATGCTTATATAACTCAATTTTATGAAAAGCAAAGTGCTGCAGCTCAGATTCACAATCAATGACAATGACAACTTAAAGATTTTGGGTCAATATAGAAGAAAAGTTGTAGCAATTTTAAATTTCCTATTTGGTAATAAGAGGTGAAAAGTGAGCTGATATTATTTTGTTACCAACCACTACAATTTTTATTACATATCTGACATCAGTGAAACTTTCAAAGTGAGTAAAAGGAGATAAATACTTGCGGTTGAAAAAGCCCAGGATGCTCCGCAGTTTCGCTGATCCAAAGGATCGTGAATCCACTCAGGCCACTCATAAGTGGCTGAAAAAATTTCAGGAAACTTGTCCTCTGGAAGTGACTTTCCCTAAAACAAAATGTAGAAGATCTGTATATGCTTAATTTCTTATTTTTATCATAAATTTTACCATAATTTTGTTTGTAAAATTCTTAAAGTTCTTAAAATTTTTAGACTGAGGAAAACCTAAAGTCCCTGTGACCTCCCAAGCAACTCTGTGGTGGTTTCCCCATGGCTGGGTGCTGCAGACCCCTGAGAGCAGGAGGGTTCTGGCACTCCACCAGCTGAGCTGAAAAGCTGAGCTTCAAGACTGCCAGCCTGAATAAGTTCCTCTCTGTTCCTCTCAGTTCCTTTCTGATTTTCACCTCAAACAATAATTCCCTATGAAATTTTGCAAAGTATGACTCACCCAGCTGGTATTTTTGGAAAGAAAAGCCCTCTGCTACAAATAGCAGTGAAGTTGAATACCTTTTACCCTGTTCTCCCAGACACGTGTAGGCAGGAAATTTTAGACATTTTAGGAAAGGAATCAGTATAATGTATCATTGTTGTCTTTTACATAGAGGTTATTCAATCTGAAGCAATTATTCCCTTTCCAGAATAAAAATCAGTGATTTTTCTTCTGCTTTTCAATCTGATGGTGAATTCATGAAAATTCATGATCTGCTCACTAGAGCAATTTGGCCAGCCATTTCTGGCACCTTTATCTCTCAGCCTTAATTTATGTCCCCCTCCAAAGTCCTCCAAGCTTTGAACAAATATTTGCATATGCAAGAACCATCTGGTACAGCTGCTAATATTCTGCTCTCTGTTCAACATATCAAAATCATTGACCCTTTTTTTTTTCCACTGGTGAACTTCATGGAATGATGGATTATACTGTGCAAGGAAATAGGAATGGCACAGAGAATTGCAATATCATGCCATGCAATCATTCTGTTTCAAAAAATTGTTGATAACCTCAGTTACAGAAGGAAATACAATATACAAAATTGGATAATCTCTTCCTAAACAAAACACTCACTGATGCTTCTTTCTCATAAGCAGGCTGAAATTGTGAAGCACAATGGCTTCTATCCTGCTTAAATTCTTTTAATTTACTTCTATTTACTTATCTTCTAATTCTGGGTACCCTTGCTAAAATATTTTTCTAAATTATTTATATCATTTATGATCATAAAACATGCCTTTTGCTAAAGTGATTTAAACATTTGAGGCCAGTTCTTTCAAATTTTAAGACTCTTTGAAGAACCAAATTCTAGCCCTTTGCCTGTCACGTTGTTGTGTGCATTGTGAAACAGCAGTGCTTCTATCCAGCTTGAACACCTGGATTTGCCACAGAAAATCCCCACCTGAGAAAAAGTGGATAAGGAAAAGGTAAGCTGGTTCTCAGTTCTATATCTGACATTAGCTTGGGATATAGACCCAACAGACAAATTGATACAGTCTGTGTGTATTCCCAGAGCCAGAGGTTGAGCAGGTTAGATGCAGGCTGCAAGTCCTGAATCCATTAAGGAATACTGCAAGCTGTTAGGTCACTTCAATGACTTCTAAAAGTCTTACCTCCATCCATACAAGGCCAGTAATATTTTAAACCCTGCTAAAATATTAATCTCAACATTTTGATTAATCAGCTTCAAAAGACTGTTTTTTTCAGAGTTTTATATACATGGGACTTGCAACATCAAGTGACAGGAAGCAGTAACTGATTTAAAGAATAACTTGACAAAGTATTTTTTTGTTCATTATTAGTGAGTAAGCACTAGCTCAAGATTTACTTTGAAGATGGAAGATACAGGAGAAATCCCAGACAAATAGAAATTCTTTTATATGATGTGACTGTTCACTGACAATCAGTAAGAACGCAAAATTTGTCAAACGTTTAGTAATAGTGTGGTAATGTAATAATGTGGGTAATAATTTAGTAATAATGTGGGTAATGGCTGCTTGCAATGCTCATTACGATGCCTCATTACAAATGAGGCAGTTGAGAAAAGCAAAATTCTAAATAGATCTCAAGTCTTGACAATGGACAATACTTTTTGTTTTCCCAACCTACTGCCAATATATATATTAGCCTCACATTGTAAATCCCAGAGCAAATTCCTCATTAACCCTCAGCCTTGCCATTTAGAAATGCAGGACTGATCTGTAGGCAGAAACATTGGCTTTTTTTTCTGAAAAAATAGATACTCTGATATTGAGAAGTCCTGCTGGTCTGTGGCAAATACCAAGTCTAGACAACTGTTTCTCAGTGTATGCTCCATGGACCAGCATCAGACAGCACAAGGCAATCAGCAAAATGACTGGTGAACTATTTTTAAACCTTTATATGTACTCTCTGCAGTGAAGTTAGCAGCCTGGCCAAAGCAGGAAGGTAAGAGAATATAAAAGAGCACTCGAATTTCAACTATAACTTCTTCAGAAAAGAAAGAGGACCAATAAGAGAAAAAAGGCCAAAGATAACTGAATTTGCAAATGAAATAGTTTCCCTGAGGGAAAACAGGTTTTTTCTTTTTAATGTAGCAAAATGATTCTGGACATCACCTGCTTTGCGAAGACGTAATGGGCATGAATGACCTTCAGTTTGCAAGAGAGCTACAGCTGTTGAGGGTTTTTACTGTGAAAAGCCATATATCAGTGGAACAGAGGGTGCACTTTGTCTACTTTCCAATTGTTTTTACGAGTTTCTTGATATTTAGTGAAAAAACGATGCCTTATTACTGACTTATGTATTTAATTTTCTTGTAAGATGACACTTAGGTGAGCACCTTGTTGCTGGGGGTGCAGACCTTACCATAGCAATGTACCTCTTGCCAGGACTTGTGCTGACAGAGTACCACCAAGAGTGCATCACAATGGTTTCAAAGGTGTTGCGATTTTTCCCTTGCTACATGGAACTTCAAGAATGATTGCACTGTCTCCTGCAGTGAAAATGCCATCTCAGATGGAAGAGCTTCAGCTTTGTCAGGAGCCAAACATTTTTAGTGGTGCATTTAGCTGTTGATCTATACTTAGGTCTAGCCATACTGTGCAACAGAAGGTCCACAGTTCAGATTTAGTTCTCATTCCATATCATGGTCTTTTGGGTATTCTCATGTACCATCATGTCAAACTTCCAGACAAAAACATCACTTTGTTGAGCAGGTAAAGTGTTTTATTAATAGCAGAAATTTTAAAAGTTCTATCAGCAGCTTCAGAAAGTTTATCATTTCCCTAAGAACTTCGCAGAAGCTGAGAAAGTTATACGGAGAATATTATTTTATATTTTTAGCTTTTGTAAGTAGAAAGATTTCCTAGAATCCTGTGAAAGGTATGTGATTCCAGAAACATGAAAGGAAGTCTCATGATGACTAAATGCATGAATGTGCCAAGTTGTATTTCTGGAGAAAAATGCATTGAACCTCCTTGGGTGTCTGCCAGTGACAAAGGGAGTTGGGTTGTGGCTCACAGATTTCATAAGACAGCAGACAGAGAAAATATGACTGAGAAATGTATCTGTGGAACAAAGGCTGTTAGAAGTGTAGCAGTGAAAGTAGCTGCAGGAAGCTTACTAACAATGATTTAATAACCTGGATATAATGCAGGACTACTGAGTAAACAGTTACTACAAAATGAATGGGGGAAAGCAAGCATCGTAAAGATTTCCTTGAAAACTTCCCTTTTCTCTATTCCTAGGTGGGATTTGTCTCACCTAGCTAGATACCTAGCAATGGAGATGTCACTCTCTGGGCTGGCTACATGACATCCTTCTTTTGCCTGTGATATATAAGCTTTACACTGTATCCCTCAAGGAAAATGCCAGAACCAAGAAACCAATCCAATTCTTCTGAGCCTCAATGCAGTTCACTGGTAATTTAAGGCAGATACCTTCTAAATATGGGATTAAATTATTTTATGCCATTGTCTTATTTTGACCTGCCATCTTCAAGTGAAATGATCCTTCTTTGGCTGAAAGAGTAGTCCAGAAAATCCAACAAGGCAAAACGCCAAAACTTAATTCCTGTCCACTTTTTGCTCTGGAAACCCTTCAGAGTGTAATTTTGATTGAGTTGGCCAATCTGAGCCTGCATGCAATGCCTCGCCATGCTGCTGCAGGGAGCTGATATTGTGAGTAATGGTCTGAATCAAGCAAAAGGGTTAGGACTGATAAAATTATAGCAGAGGACATGCCCTCTTTTCCCAAAAGCTGCTCAAGTGGCAGCTCTGCACTGCTGTCACCACAGGGCCTTCCATCGTGTGGAAATCCTTCTTCCACTGATGCCTAAAGATTTTTAGCTATATATATATATATACATGTGTTTGGAGATTTTTAGATTTTTAATATACAGCTGTATAATTTTTCATGCTTCCTCACACTTCAGAGTAGTAGATTACCCTTTCTCACACATTTATGCCACCTTCTTGAAATTACGTTTAAACAAGTAGTCTTATTTTCAAGAAAAGCATTTCTAACAAGAACATCCTGTTCTGCACCATCACACATAAAAAAATCCAAAAAAAACCACCAGAAGACATAAAAAATATAGGGCTGAGAACCCCTTTGGGAGACTCTCAGGGGCAGGTCCAAGGGTGGTTACCAGAGCAACTGGTCTTCACTTGCAAGATATATTAATTAATTAAACTTATAACATTTGAGAAAATCTCATATTGGGCATGCACAAATATATTTTGTACATCTCAAAGTTTTCATTAAAGAACTGCTTTTTATATTAGCACCTTTAATATTGTTTGGAAAGTTTTCTTTTGTTTGTAGAAACAACACAACACATAAAGAAGCAACAGCAGTTGACTTCTAATAATCAAATGGCATCACTTGCCTGAACTATATTGGAGGCAAAGATAAATACCTGTTATACTTAATGCTTTTGCAAACCATGGATCTATCTATTTATACTTTCATTTCGTCTAATTTCACTCTGGTGAGCTAGTTAGGTGGGGTTTTTTTGGTCTGTGAATTCCATAAATTGTGTCCTCTAAGAAAGAAACTAAGTAACTAATCCAAAGCATTGGAAAAATCACTCTGGCTTCAATAACTTGTATTTTTTCTTAAATTGCTTAAACTATGTAGATACCTTAAAGTATACTTGCTTTGATGCATAACTAATTTCAGCATAAATAAATTATAGGAAATTTAATTTAGCTGTCATTAAAATTGCCATGGCCAAGGGGTTTAGAAAGCTGGTAGTAGAGAACCATTTCATTTTGCAATGATTCCCGTAATTTTGCTGTCCATTTGTTCAAAACCCAAAACAAGCTTTCACAGCTTCTGTCAAAGACTGCTGTTTAGTCTCAGCTGTTAGCCTTAATGAGCTATGCCCAGATGTATTTTTCTGTAGTTAAAGCTATGTGTGCAATGATTAAGAAATAGAGAGAATTAATATGGAGCCCTCCTAAGGATGTGAAGTACAAAGATAAGTTAATACTGCTGCAGAGCTTCACAGTGATTAGGAATTTTCTTTTGCTTCTTCTTGTTTGATTTCTGTCAATAGGGCCAGACATTCTGTGATTTAGAGAACTGTTCCAGGAACAACACCATATTCAACATGAAAACATTTAGTGACAAAATCCTGAATCATAATCTTGTAACTGTCCACATTTTTTTTCCATGTGATAAAATTATTTAAAAAAATTAACAAGTGTACATGACACTTACAGGAGCTTCTCTCATATTCAACAAAGAATGAGATGGAGGGAAGGTGCCCAGGCGCTTTTTGAAACCTTCTTCCACTGTCATTCCCCAGAACTGACTGTAGTTTTCAGCTTTCCATCTTCCTCAGAGATGAAAAATAAAAAAACAAGGCCCAGGTTAGAGATATCACTCATATAAACCCATTGCTCATTTAAGAGTACAACTAGAAAAAGCATCCAGAAATAAATTTTTGAAATTACATTTTAAAAACTTGCATTCAATATGCATGAGAAGATATTTACTATGGGCTTTTCTACTGCAGATAAGAGCAGGATGGAGCAACACAGCAGTGTATGGATAGCTGTGACTCGGGGTCAACACCACATCAGCCTGCAGGACATGAGAGTGCAATACTTCAGGGCTGTACTGGCACATGAGATACTCAGTCAAAACATTACTTTTCTCTTGAAGTTATGCTCAAGTCATGCTCCAGCCCTGATTCCTGCTGAGAACTTGCAGCCTTGTGCAGTGACTTACAGTGCACCTTCAAGCTCTGGTGCACCAGATGAGAAATACTGTTGAACCCAGCAAAAAGCCCAGCTGACACCTTCTGCACGAGTTTTATACCAATAGCCACTGTGAGAGAAAGGGCTCCCCATGGTATTCCAAGTATTCCCTTGCTACTCTCAGGTATACTTGACTCACATTGTAGTGTTGACATGCAAACTTCATGCAGAACACAAAAAAAACACCCTTGCAGCCATACACATTCAGATCACACTGAAATTTACTACTGGCTAAAGGCTGAGTGACAAGGGACTGAGCATTCTCTTTAAACATTCCTTTTTTGCTTTTTTATGAAGAGCAAGGAGTCAGATTCATGCTACCCAAAGAAGCCACATTGCTTTAAGTCTCCCTGTGGTCAGTGAAAAGTGCAAGCACTGAGTCATCTCACCTGTCACCCTGTGACAAATCTAATTGGTAACCACTGACAAGAGACAGGTTCAGGCTCCAGGGGCCTAACTTGGTTGTCTGTCCTAAGTCAGTTGGTTTAAATGTCTCCCATGAAGTACAAAACCTTTCAGCACTCATGACAGCTTGAAATCTGGACAGACTTCATTGGTGAATTTGGCATCCTAAGGAGGCTGCCCCTGTATCTCTGTAAACAGCCAGGAGGCTCCCAAGGCACAGATCCAGTACTGGGATCCCTAATCCTGTGCACTAGCCAGGAGAATGAGATTGAGCAAGAAAAACACAAAGCCCCCAAAGTTCTGATAACCTGATCCCCATTGTGCCCATCTTCTCCTCTTCCAGTGCTACCTAGAGTCCTGCTACATGGAACAGTGCTCTCAAGGGAGCAGAAAAAAAAATACTTTAAGTATCTATCCCAAGTAATAAATGAAATGAAGAATAGGGGAAGATGATGCAAATCATGTTTTGAGAGAAAATAAATTGTTCTAAATTTGGAGAATATTACCAGCATGAGTTGTTCCATATCTTTCCATTTAAAGCTTTATAATCTGCCAGTGATTTAGGAAAGTTTCACAAATGCACACTTACTGTCAAATTGCTGTAATGTATCTGGAGAAGGAAGGGGTGGAGAAGACTGCATACCTTGTAATTTGCACATACACAGAATGAGCAATACTGTGATGCATAACAAAACTTTAAAATAAACTGATTCTCACCCATAATCTCCAGAATTGATGTGCTGAATTAAGTCTTGGCGAACAAGGCATACGTCTGTTGAACATTTCCAGAGACTGTTGAAACATTTGCTGAAAGGACAAGAATATCGCTAAACAAAAAAAAGAATTGCCAAAGGAAAAACATGCACTCTAACAGCAGAAGGCAAATGGAGGGAGAAAAGGTGTGAACAATACAATTGTCACAGAGTGTTTATGAAAACATAGCATCATTTCTTTCTGCTTCGCTGGCTAATGATTTGGAACAAGGTGGGAAGGATTACAGTTTGTGAGAAAGGTCATATCTGAAAAATTTTGTGTCCATCTTTGTGAGACCAAAGCAGGGAATGTAATATTGATGTTGAATTCCTGAAAAAAATGTGATGCTTTGTGGAAGTTTTACTCTGAAAATTCAGAAAGGGTTTTGTAATGCCAGACATCGTGCTCCAAGGATCCTGGACTAAAGTCAGCACAGTGGGAGCTCCAGCCTTATTTGGTGTGGCTGGAGCTCTGGGATTCCAGTCCCACCAGTGTAGGGCTGGTTTTTGGAGAGACTTCCAGGGCTAATAGCAAAGCTCTCCTGTCTGCACTGTCTGCTTCTCTCCCAAGGCAAAGAAAGGTGTACTCAAACAATTCACCCCTTTCCACATAAATGTGTGTGTGTGTATATATATATATATATATATATACTATCCATATATCCTTTCTTTACAGGTTAATGTAAGTTCTCATTACTCATGGGGGAAAAAACCCCAAAACCAAAAAACAAACCCAAAAGCAACCAAACAAACAAGGAGGAAGAATTCTATAAATTTTAATGATATTTGTTTTATCTGCCCAGGTCTAGACTGAAACCATTTCAATTTAGGTTTGACTGACAAGGAATTAGTCCAGTCAGAAGGAGATTTTAATATTCTAATATTCATATCTTGATTAGAAAGTCCAGTTTCCCTCTTGCTGTTCTTCTAAATTGACTGTAATCTACCTCTACAAAACCTTAATACTTAGCACTACTTTTGCAGCCATTTTGATTTGATCACATGTGTAATATGAATTTAAAGATGCTCTCTACCTTAATTCCTGTTTCATGACATATGCTAGATAAAGTTCAATTTGCTGTTCTCTGAAACATTACCAGGAATTGCAGTTGTCTTTAATTATTGTTCCTTCTCCGTAATATCGGCCATCTTTATAACAACCTGCCAACATAACATATAGATGTGTGAAAATAAAATAATTCTAAAATAATAAGTGAATTACTGAAAACTCTTGCTACTGTTTTATTAATTGGTCTTATGCAGTATGCTTGAATTATTTAGTTGAAAGTCAGCAATATGGTTCCAGTTTCTTCCAAGTAATGAAGGCAGTTTAATGTATTCTATTTTTTAGAAACTATATTATCATTCATAGTAAATAAATTCAGCATCAGATTCACAACACCCACTGAAGAATTATTGTCTTACATATAAATAAAAAAAAAATCTTCAAATAAAGTTATTTTCCTGTAGTAGAAAGAAAAGATTTCTAAAAAAAAAGTATCTTCTAATTGGCAATTAAAATTAAAAAAAAAATTTACAGGTATAGAATTAAAAAAAATTAAATTTAAATTTAAAAATTTAAATTATATTTAAAAAACTAGTGAATACTCCAAGCCTATTGTAATAAATCCTTTTTCCTTGCCAGATTAATTCCTCTTTGAAAAACAGACAGATCAATTGCCCTTCTTGGCAAATTTATGTTTCATGCACCCTCCAAAACCCATTATGAAACATAAATTGAGCAATGAGTTCTCCAAAAAAATAAATCCCTCTAATTTTTTTTTTAATTTGATAGCACTTCACTGAGAAAAGATTTTGTGTGTATTTCAACAACTTCCACATAAATTGTTTCATCAATGCATTTGACTGTCAAATCTTCAGCAAATAATAATCTAGAATGCGTACACAGGGTGTTGGATTGAGTCAACAGCAAACATTTGTACATTCATCACACAGATCTGTGTTCTCCAGCCTGTTCTGATAGGTGAGCCTATAGACACCATGTTTGTCCCTCCACTGAGAGGGCTTGGACTCCCTTTTCCTCCATTTTCAACAAACTTTAATGTAGTGTTGACTTGCAAATTTGCATGGCAGCATGCTTTTCCCCCCAGCACGAGTGGAAGGAAGGCCATGCCCCTCTCGTGGCCAGGGCTGGAGTTTGTGTGCCCACATACCCACACACATGCACACCTCAGCTGCCTGCTCCTCCTTCCTTGGCAGGACAGAATCGTGCACTCTGAGCCCAACATTATTTCATAGCAAAGTGCAGAAGTGAAGAAGAGGTGATGTATTAACTATAAATGCCTTTATTTCCCTGCTAATTCAGCAGGCTATGGGAAGTAGCACAGGTTAAATAGATCCCACCAAGGCAGTCTGAGGCCCAGAGTGTTTGCTCTAATCCAACTTCAGCTAAGAGCTGAGGTATTTTCCACAGAATACTCAAAGCAAATTACCAAAGTGCCACAGTTTGTCACAGTATGTCACAAAATCAGCATCAGACAGTAGCTAGAAGGAGGATCAAGTAAGTAATTTTAAAAATATCAAGAGAAGGAAGTACTGATGCAGCATTTGAGAGATGGAACAGACCCTCATTGGAGCTCTGCTGGCAGGGCTCACTGCCTGTGCACAAGATAAAATGCAATCCTGCACTTGTACAGAAGCAAGTTTATAATGATGTATGCTTAGGGAATTGAAGATTAACACCATGCAGTTTCTTTAGCCTAGCCAAATTAATATTTTGTGGGCCAGGAGCACTTCCTGAGGCATCAGTGAGACAACAGAAATATCTAAGCTAAAAGACATGAGAATACAGTGGGGTTGTCTGGCTCTGAAAGTATTAGGTTGGAATATTAAAACATTAAGTGGAAAATTAATTAATTTGAAGATGCAGCTTGATGACTTTGTAAATGGGATTTTATGATGTGAAAATCATTAATGGAAAGGAGACAATTTGAGAAATGGAGACTTCCTTCACAGTCCAATATTCATATACCCTTAATGGTTCTTATTTCCTTTGTCTCCAGCATTGGTGTGAGTATTTCTCTCAGTGAAATATCATCAGGTTTACCCCCTTGTAGATCAGATCGTATCTGTCATCTGATCATAGCTGTCATAAAAGCAATCAGTAAACTCACTGGATGTCACTTTTACACCACCAACAGGTGAGACCCAGTGTATGGATTTTGTACCATCAGAATAACTGAAACGAAGAGATAAAATAAGTAAGTCCTGGGATAAAACTCAAAAAGTTCTTCTAACAACAAAATTGAAAATACTACTATAATAAAAGGACCCTGAACTTCTATTTGATATCTAAAGCAGGAATGTGCAGTTTCTTCTGAAACTGCACATGAAAGCCATAGAAACAAACTGAAGGCTGGGTTTATAAAGGCAGAATCAAAGCAGTTCTACACATTTAAATCCATACTGACCCCCAGCATGGAGCACAACCATGAAAGAAGTCACAGTGTAGCTTGTTTCTGCTGTACACTGTCAGTGAATGTGGAGGCACCCAGAAAGAAACCACTGAGCAGTTTTATTGCTGTACTTTCCAGCCAATGTAAAACACTTCAGTTTATTGGTTTATTTAAAGAACTATGACTCAGGAGGCTCTGATAGCAAAACCTCTGGCAACCAAAAGATCAAAATTTTCCAGGTAAAAAATATTTTGGTATATGTGGTCTTCAAGTGCATAAATAATTCTTAGCCTAAGGCAGAAGCATACTCTCAGTTGCTAAAAGTCAGCTAACATACTTTTGTCGTTTCTAATTAGGCTTCCTAATTTGCTTAATCTTCAGGCATTTAGTCCTACTTAGTCCTACTTGTTTCTCCTTTTTTTTTCATTCCAATTCTTCAGATATTCCAGTTCTAGAAAGATTCTTTAGGGATGGTTTTGTTTGTTACTTTTTTTCCCCCTGCTTTATTTTGGCTTTATTGTTTGCCTTTTACTCTCTAAATTACATAATGAATATCCAAAAAAGAGATTTTAAAAAATTGTAGACTTTCTGTCACTTTAAAAAGCAGAGAACTAGGTTTTTTTTGTGAGATGACATATTCAAAAATAGTATATGATCATCTATAGGACAAATAAATAGATACTGTAAATATAATTACTACCCCTGGCAGTTATGTTAGGAGTTACAAAACAGCAAACACAAATGCAAAAAAATTGGATTAAGAAAGCAGTAAAAATATTACCCCTCACCTATTGCCTTATCTAAACCTTCTGTCACACTTCTGCCTTTTAGAGGTAGACTGGTGGCAGTGAACACATGGCAAACTGCTGCAGGTTTTGGAGTGATTCAATTCCATGAGACAGTTTGCCAAAGTAGACTCATCAGCTCTCAGCTCTGGCCAGAAATACAACTATATATTTATGTAGAGCTTGCAATAAACACCCCATGTCAAAAGTAATATACACCACTGCACAAAATAAAAATTAAAAAAAAAAAACCAAAAAAACAGAGCCCTAGAACATTATTTTAATGGTTAGGAACACTATGGAAAATCAAATTTGTTTTGAAGCATTTCTGTCACTCACGCTTATCAGATTTTGGCTGCACGCCAAAGAGCACAGCCTCCTGAAGAGCTTGTGTTCTGAGTGCTGAGAACTCAAGCAGCAAGGTTATTGCAAAGAGACAGTCAGTTTTAAAAAGTCACAGTAGTATTTTGTTGATTTTAGGCTTTTGAAACTTTGGTACATTCCCTACATCTTTGGCCAGATTTGGTGTACTGACAGTAAGAAGATATATAGTCTTAAAATCCACAATACCAAATTTTCTTCACCAGCAGAGATTTGTCCTATCCACAAGCCAAAGAAGGACCAGCTGTTTGAAAAACCTTTTTTTTTTTCCTTTGCAATCTTTAGTACTAAAAATAATTAGAGTTGTCCTGGAGGGACTTCCACTTCAAACTAGCTAATAAGAAACTAAAATATGCCACAAACCCTTGTTCTAAACACATCCCATTCACCTACTCCTTGTTCTAAGCACATCCTTTCATTTAGTCCCACACCTGAGCTGTCTCCAGAAAAACAGTGTCCCACAGGAGAGCTGTGCTGCATCAAAAGCATTGCAGAACACCTCAGGGCACTATCACTCAGGATAACCCTCAGTTTTGTTGATTTGTTTGTACTGATGGATTCAAATATTTGGAGCTTGCTGTTCATCTCATGATCATTGAAATGTTTCAGTTTACACTAATTTTGACCCAATGAGGATATTCTCTGAGAAGTTTCAAATAAAACAGAGGTTCTGTCCAAGAGAAATACAGTCAGATCAACATCAGTGTCCTAGAGACAAAGAAATAACAGCAAGTATAATTCTCACTCCAGTTTCATACTCAGTGTCTTTGTCCACTATGTCTTCAGTCACATTTTCAGAATGTATACACTCTAGGGATTAATCAGTAATTCTACTTCTATGTATATTTTCACTGCCATGCTCTAAAGCCAGCTGAGTGTTTTCTCTCTACTTACCCCATGCCGGAGGCGGCCAAGGCTCCTCTGACCTGGTGGGCTCCACAGGGTGGCTGCAGACGTCCCAGTAGTCAGCACAACAGTCTACAGGCCCAGGAGAGCCTGAGGTGCAGTACTGGTCACAGTAACATATGGCTGCTCTGGAGACAATGGTAAAGCTGCAGTCATCATCTCTTCCTGTGCAGCAGCCTCGAATCCTGCAGGACCTCCCCTGATACAGACTCCTTTTAATCCTGTTCCACTTAGCAGAACCACTGTCTGCTACAGAGTAAAGTCCTTGGGAGAAATTTCTTCTAGAATCAAGATGCCTTGCCATCAAAACTTCACTGGCAATGCAATATAAGACCAATATCTGAATTTTGTGCCACATTCCTGTTCCTCTAGAAGCCTTTTTTGAGGCTTGTTGTCCTTTACTTTCTCAGCAAATGTTCATTTACTCTAGATGTAGTACCTCCAGTTAGAAATCAGAAAGAAATCTGAACAGAAAGCTGCAGACTACAGTTTTCTAAGACTCTGCATGTGTTAATTATTAGTCAGATATGTTGTAAACTGATTTATTTGCCCAAGATAGAGAGGTACTGGAAACAGAGCCACAACTGTGTATTCATCATTATGAAACTTTGGTGTGAGAAAGTTTAAAATAAAGTTTCAACATACACAAAATATACATAGTCCAGTATTTTAGTCCTATACTTCAGACTTCTAAAATCAAAACAATGTGAGGAATAAGTACACGGTGTCAAAGGGAGTTCTCTTTCTTTTTGTGTACCTATAACCAGCATGTTCTCCACATGATTAGAAAACCTTTAACATTTAGATTGTATATCAGCTAAATTTTCCTTTCTGATAAGCAAGGTGACATCACTGCAGCAAACTTATCCTTCATTCCCCATTTCAATTTTATTTCTGGCGATCTAGCTTAACCTTATATGCTTCACTTTTTTCACTTTTACTATGGGCAAATTCAGAAAAAAAAAAGCAGGTAATATTCAGTATAAACTATTATTCAAAGATATTCCTTTAAGGTTTGCATTTCTATAGTCAAAATTAACTTGGCAGTCATTCTAATTAACATAATACATACCTACTGATAAGCGCTCATTCCTATTTAAAAAGTAAATGGCTGTATTTATATATCAAAAAAAAAAAAAAAAAGCAGATATCAAGGATAAGTCTAACAGCTTTTGCTACTTGATCTGTAATCTCCAAGTTTTTGAACAGAAGGTTTAAATAAATATACACAGTACTGTTGCCAAAAAAAGAATTCAGAAAAAAGTACCAAAGAACTTTGAAGTTCCTACACAGATAGCACATAAAGCTTAATTGAAATAAAAAGCCCATGCACAATTTCAAATTTGAACAAGACAATTTAAGTCTCCAAAGCTGAACAAACAGAGGTAAAAACCAGTCATCCTTCTGTCTTCATTTCTTAGTGAGAGGAACCTGGAGAAGCTGATGGTGGGCTGTTTTCTAGGGAATTAAGGGGATTTTTCCCTTTGTGACTTCAGCTGGGCTGCTCAGGAAGGCATAGCATCAAAGGGCAGCTACTTTTGAAAGCACCCCCAGTGTGGATGCATTGCCATGAATGGTAGAGACATTAAGAGGCAAAGTGTGTGTATGTTTATATATTTGGGCTTGTAATCCAAATATTGCAGTCTTCAATACAACTTCTTGCCAGCAGTGCTTTTATTGGACCTGCCTCCTACATTGTCCTTGTCACAACTAAGGAGCTGCAGATGGGGGGAAATTACATCTGACCACACAATTTTTATTTTTCTCTCTTGCAGGAAATTTTCTGTGTGAAAGGTAACAGAAGAGCCAAGGTAAGCAACAGGCAGTCACTGTCCATCACACTAATAGTGCATAAATCTTAACCTTCAAATTTGCTCTGCATTTTTTTTTATTGTTTTGTTCATAATTGAAAATCTGGACAACCTTATTTCTGTCACTGACTGCAATGATGCAATACAATGAGAAAGGATATGGCCATGGAAACAGTGAAGCACTCTCTGGAAATTATAATTCATTTCTTTTCCTTACATCTGAGCAGCTCTGTCAGCTCCAAGAGAATGACCTCTGATTTGCACTGACATTAGCAAAATTCAAATCTCCTTTGTATTTCAAATCTTCAGAAATACTTTTATCTAGTTATCTCCTTGCTCTGAAAGCATAAGAAAGAATATGTGGTAAATGTCTGTCAGTCAGATTAAGTGATTATATATTTTTAACTTTAAAGACCGGCTGATGATAAACCAGAGGTAAGGAATTTGCTTGGAAATCATTTCAGCTCATTTACACAGAAGTTAGATTTCTTTTAAAGGAACACAAAAATCAGCTTGTGTTCTAAGCACCTTTGTTTTGCAACAAAGTTGATATAACCCATTTTTCCCACTTGATGGCTTCTGTTCAAACCTTAAAAAACCCCATGAAACTATTCCTTTGTGTTTCAGCAAACAGAATTTTTTTTGTATTTTCCTCTGTAAGTCAAGCAGCTCCATCTTCACTGTGTGAAAGCACGCACTGAATTATCTGTAACAATTTAGAAACAGCTTGACGTGATCCTTTTTCTCTCTTGAAGATTAGCCTGTTCCAAGTACAACAGATATCCTAAGATTCTGAATTAGGGTCCTAGTACTAGTTCTAGGTGGCACAGTTAAGTGCAAAAAATGTCTAGTTCTTTTTTCAGCATTTCTTGATGTTTATGCTCAAGCTTCAGGAAACACCACACATTTGGTAGAAATTCAAATACTAATACCACTGAATGATTGATGGAGTTAAAACAAAAAACAACAACAACAACAAAAAAAAGATGCTAAAATGTCCAAGAATCTCTTCAAAGCTGGACCAGGGTTATTTCATAGCCTTTCTTTCAAAAGCTGTCCTATTTTGTCTGAGCCTACTGGGCATCATAAAAATCTCATCACCTTCATAGAAGGGTAGGATAGCAGTGGCTGGGAAGACTCTTGGTGCTGAAGGTGACTCCCAGGGTGGACAGCAGAGCCGACCCCATCAGACAGCCATGACACCTTCCCTTCTCCTGGCTGCCACAAGCAGACTGGAATCAAGTGCAGGGGAAATTGCAGAACTATGACTTTATGCCAGGAAAATGAAGGGACACTTGGCTAGTTAAGGAAGAAATCACAATGCCAAACCCCAAGTAAGTCATTTGCCAGGAGGCACAACTCAATGCATCAGAGAATCCATGTAATTGCTTATCTCCAGTTTAAACTCTGCAACAATCCCGTCCATCCCTTTCACTGAATTCAAAAAGAAATTTAACTGGTGACTCCTGGCACAGAATGTATCACTGATTTCTAATGGCCACAATACTTTATGTTTTCTCCTCTTTTTTAGTAATGGTTGAAATGCGGTGAAAGTTTTCAAGACAAAACTACTTCAACAAAAGCATTATCCCACAATGTATTCTCTCTGCCTTGTACTAATGGCAGAATAGGATTCATCCTCCCAAATTGTGAATGACTAGCTCCTAGATGTGTTTATGCAGAGACAAGCTGTGTGTTAAAGTGATTTTCTCACTGTCATTTCAGTTTTTGTATGTTTGGAGCAGGCATAGGAATGGGGGTGCCTTCATCCTGTTTGGCAAGAGTGTGGCAGCTCACTGCTGTGGGTTGTTAGTAAGAAGTGCCACTTTTAATTCAAAATTTCAGGTCTGCCTATCTCAAGTCTTATGATGATAATCCAAGTTACATGTAAATCAGAATAATGGCACTTATGTGACAAATTTCATCAGATGTCTGAATCTTGTCACAGTGGGACTTGTTATTCACAGTCTCTGATACCAGTTCTCCCAATTCATCAGATATTTGAATCAACAAATTTAGGGCTGGCGGTAGAGGGAAAGCAACTGACCCAAATTGTGCATGCCAAAGAAGTCCTATTCATCATACTCAGAGATGTGCACACACGAATGCCCAAGAGTTCAGAGTCAACCACCAGAGGTAGAAGGAATTACTTCCTAAGTGTTACATATATACATTACATAGTTTAATATTATTATCATTATTATTATCATTATTATTATCATTATTATTATCATTATTATTATGTGGTTGCTATGACCTCACAGCTTTTTTGCTCTACCCACCACAGTAATTGGCCATGCATATTTCCCATGCCAGCTGCATCACTTGGTCAGCCTCGAGGAAGCAGGTGCCATCTCATTCTTCTTGTCAGCCAAGCTCTTGCGCTGTGTCAAGGTCAGCCCACTGTGGGCTCAGTCCAGTGAAGCCTGTGAAGAGTGGGGGCCCCTGTGCATGAACCAGCACTGTGTCCACGTGGTCATACAATTGCAGGTGCTCTCCTAAACGATGTTTCTGTAGGACTTACAGAACAGCAGGTAGCAGCAGTCATTGTGGCTCATACCTGAAGAGGAACCTCTCAAGAAACACAATCACATGCAGAAATTTTGGCAGTGACCCCAACATAGGATGGACCACATGACACCTTCATTTTGCCATCAGTGTGAACACATTAACCTGTGCATGGCTGCATTTAGCTTCAGAGAGGTGATATTTACTGTGAACTTGTCAATTCCAAACCTCATCAGCCAGTCAGAGATGGAGACAAGGTTTATACTGTGTTTCATTGAAAGTTTGAGCTCTCAGAAAGGGTTGTGCTGGTGTTTCATGGGAGTTATGCACATATTGGTGTTCATCTCAATTGTGTGCTCCTATCTAATCCCACCAGTTAATCTTAGAATCATAGGATCATTAATTTTGGAAAAGTCGTTTAAGATCACCAAGTCTATCACTGTGTTCTCCACTAAACCATGTCCCCAAATGATACATCCACACATCTATTGAACAGCACCTGGCATGGTGAATCCACCACTAACCTCAGCAGCCTATTTCAATGCTTGACCGCCCTTTGAGTGAAAAAATGTTTTCTAATATCCAATCTAAACCTTCTCTGGTACAAAATGAGGCCATTCCTATCCTATCACTTTCTACTTGGAAGAAGAGACTGATTGCCTGCCTGGCTACAACCTCCTTTCAGGTATTTCTAGAGAGTGATAAGGTCTCCCCCTGAGCCTCCTTTTCTCCAGGCTAAACACCCCCAGCTCCCTCAGATGCTTCTAGTAAATATGTATCTTAATCCTTTTAACAGGCTGGTCCTCAGTGTTGCCTATTTGCAACTCCCTGATTCTCTGTTTTCAAGGATTTTTTTAATAACTTAAGGTACAGATTTTTTTTTTCCTTTTCTATCCCTGAATTGCTACCCTTACCATCCTAACAAAATCTGTCTCTCTGTGCTTTTTTCTCCTTTTGCATAGCTTTAGCCTGTGAACTCCCTGAGATTTAAGCAATTTCCTCATTAAAACTGAGTCAAGACCACAGATGTGTGCCAAACCAACCAGGCTTTGGATGCCAGCCATTTGAACCCTGGGGCCAAGGGCCATCCTGATGCAGCATCCAGATCTTCTCAAGTATTTCACTGCCCAAATACGCCTATTGTACTGGACACATTTCCCTTCTGA